CCCCAAAACCCCAAAACCCCAAAACCCCAAAACCCCACTCATCAATAAATTAATTGGAATTATATAATTTTTAATGATATTCCCAGGACTGAACCTCAAGTATCAGTTCTTGAAGCAGTATATCCATACCATCAAGAAATTAATTAAACGCCAGAGGCAGAAAGTTAAGGCTGAGGATAAATACGCCTTATCAATCCAGCTAGATAAGAGTGATTTCTATCTGAAGCAAATAGCCAAGGATAAAAACAACATCTTTAGGGCATTTTCGGATTCTTTATTCTTCTCCCAATCCTATTATAAGGATGTGAAGAACAAGCTCTACTCGTTCATTCAAAAGTATGCCAATATTTTCAAGAATCTTCTTACCTTCATTGACTCAAGATTTGAGTCTGCAGAAGAATACCTTGAAGAGATTGGCAGAGGTAATAAAGAACCGGAGATTACCCTGACGATGCTATCTTTTATCTATAACCAGAACTTGGTATTGCTCTACTCAGATGAGAACTTCAATCTTAAAAAATACAAGCTTGAATTTGGGTTTAAAGAGACTACTTTTATAAGCATCCTTGACAATTCTGGTCACTTCAATACTGTATATTCCAAGGAGTATATCAAAAACTGTGGAATGACCCAGACTTTGATTATAGATATTATAGGTAAGGCTCTCCAAGAAAATGATGAGGACCCTGAAATCTCACCTGCCTTTACCAAAAAGAAAACCCATTATATTTAACAATGATTATAATACTTGGAAAACCAAGCAGATCGAAAAGAAGAAGGAGGATACTAAAATTGAAGATCTTGATAAGCTATCAGAGACCATTAATCCGGAATACTTAAAAGACTCAGCCCCTTCTGTTGAAAATAGTCAGACTGATTTAGTTCCTGACAACTCTGTAAACTTGCCTGGAGTAAACAATATGAATTTAGGTTCTTTATCCTTCGTGGGAGAGCATGCTCCTAAATTTCCGATGGCTAATCCTCCAAGTAAGAACACTACTTTTGAGCTTCCAAAACAAAATCCTCAAGGTAAGTAAAATAAAAATGACATATAGGCTTCAATAAAATTTCTGGTGGAAACCAAAGCAGCATGAATATGCCAGGACATATGTCAGGATATATGCCGGGAATATCTCCCCCAATACCTGGAATGACTCCTCCAATGTCTGGAATGATGCCGCCGATGCCAGGGATGCCTCCTCCATTTCCGAGGATGACTCCTTCAGCTCCTGGATTCTCACATACGAAGTTCTCTGAGATGCAGGGTTCGTATCCTCCTTTTTCATCAGCTCCAGAATACCAAATGTCTTATCCTGGAACTCCGAACGGAGTTATCGAGCTGACACAAGCTTCTGGGAGGTTGAAGTTCTTTGATGAGGTGCAGAACTATGGATTCCTGGTCGTAGACCAGGACCACTCAGACTTATTTGTGCACTACGACGACCTGAAGTCTTCCAGAATCTCGAGAGATGTTTTACGCCAGGCAAAAACCAGCTACTTTCTTCAGTTCACCTTCGACATAGTTAAATATTCTGGGAAATACAAAGAGTCAAAGAAGGCAGTGAACTTGAAACTAGTAAAATTTGAGAAGCTTGGATTGATCAACTAAACCTGTGTAATGCTCAAGGGAGTATAGCATAGTCACTTACAATACTTGTGACTTCAAATCGTAATACTCAAAACTACAATTTACCTTACATTCATACTAAGAAGCTTAGTGCTCTCAAGCTTTGTCTCAATTGGTTAAGTCTAAGACTTCTTGGTTCCTGGAGTTCCTTGGCAAGGGAATTGGTTTAAACTAGAGATATTTTCTACTAAAACTCAACAGAATCAGCTACCTTCACATTATATTTCTAATAGGCAGTATTGCGGTTGAATAGATATAAATCTTTAGCCCAAAGTTACAGTTACTAGTAAATTCAAGCTTAAATGGGCTCAAATATTCTTCTAAAATTTTCAAAGATCCAGAAAACATTAGTTTTGCCAGAAGTTGCTAGATGAGGCATGATACTTTAACCTTTATATTAGTTATTCACGACTAATTTCAAGATTTAGCAACCAAATTGGGGTTTTGGGGTTTTGGGGTTTTGGGGTTTTGGGGTTTTGGGGTTTTGGGGTTTTGGGG